ATCAAAGGCCAAGGACTCCGTGGCTTATTAAGCGCACAATAGAAACAGGAGTAAGTGATATACAATCTACATAATCTGGCCTTATTTTTAACTGATGTTCGGCCAACAGAACTTCACAAATTTTCAGATTTAGATACCATTTAGCTGTTGAGAAATGTAAGGTAAATTGATTTTCTTTGCATTTCCCTTTGTTGTTCCTCCTGGAGGCCAAGGACCAATGAAGCCTAGAAGTTTAGTAAAAAAAAAACAGATTCAACAAATTTAAAGGATGAATAGAAGCAAGAAGCAAAATGAGCACATCAGCCAAAAGATTTGTGTATGTAATAATCAGCATCTAATAAGTACACTAATGAGCCATTAAGTCAGGAAAAAACTACTGCATGCAATAATATCAGTAATAGGGATATGCCAGGATAAATGCTGCCAAATGCCACCAACATATTTGCAGGATGAATTGGAGCAGTTACCTTACACAATAAATAAACATGTAAGAGCATCTTCAAGTGGCTCTTTAAAGATAAGATGCTCTCTATTTTAAAAACTTTAAAATTATGCTCCAAGAGATTCTTCAAATTAACATTTCAAAATAGAAAGTGAGTTTGGAGCCACTCTCTATAATTAAATAGATTCAAAGTATTTCAATTTTCAATAAAGGAAAATAATATTATAATTTGAAGGGAAACTAATGAAAATAATAAAAGAGAGAAAAATAATAAATATTTTTTTGGAGTAGTAACATTAAATGTTAAAGATAAAGTCTGTTGAAGTACTTAAAATTTTTTACTCTAAATGTATAGATGCTCTGCAATTGCAAAATATGATCTTTCAAAATAAAAATAGAGTCTCTTAGAAATGCTCTAATTGCATCAAAGTACATAGTTGACCTCATTATTAGAATGCACTCTTCTTCTTCAAAACTCAAATGACAAGCATTAGACTAACCTTACCTACCATAACGAGCCAGAAGGTTTGTTCGATGATATGCAATTGTCAGGTTGTATCTAATAAAAGTGAAGCCACGGTCAGCTCCAACAGGACGCCACTTTTTCACCTCACTGGACACTCGTTTCAAAGCACAAAAAAGTGAAACAAACATGTTCCGGTTCAAAGAGTCCCCAACAAACCCTGCACTGTTCAAGATCCATAAGGTCTACAGGCAGCACTGTAACAATAGTAAAACAGAAGCATATTCACTAAAATCTAAATCCCGTGAGTGTATTATATTTCAACAAGAATCAAAAGACACTTGCTATAAACGCTGGTAACTGCATCTATTTTACCTCTGTTATTGTCTTCTCCATAGAAAAAGAAACACAACAAAATCACTGAATCCAGGATTAATTAAATATTATTAATACCCCAAAGTAACTCTGTTAAACTCAAATGACAAATCAAGTGGAATCATCAGATACTTTGGTTTGATTTTGATGATCAAGTCATTCCACAGGGTTGAATTTCATCGTATCAGTTCTTCGCACACTGAGAAAGCCAGAGCAACTAACACTTGTACAGATTTTATATGCTGCATTTTGTTCCAAAACGTGCTTCTACGGTTGGCATCTAGCTTCAGAAGGGCCGAAACTGCTATGACCTTATTTGCCCATTCTCAGGTGATATATTTGTTTGATTATGAAAACAAAAATCATATAAAACACTAAACAAAAATAAATAAAAATTCTCTCTATTTCCATACATATTCGGATAAACCGGAGCTTCAGCCTTCATATATATACTTATTTCTTGAGACTTCAAATTAGGGGTGGGCAAAAAAACCGAAAAACCGACCAAACCAAACCGACTCGGGTCGGTTTGACATAGTTATTGGTTTGGTTTGGTTTTATTTTAAATAAAACCACGGTGGTTCGGTTTGGTCATGGTTTAAAGCCTTAAACCACTGGTTAACCGACCCAACTCACTTACACATGTTTCTATTTATTTTATTTTTTTGAAAAAAGAAAAGTCAAAATCAAAAGTTTAATGATGTTCTCCAAAATGTGGATGTACTCAAGCTGTTTATTTGAGTAGTCTTATTGAATACTATATAAACAATTTGTTTACTAGACATTAGATGTTAACAAAACTTTTGAGCATTGGCATTTGGGATATACATTTCACCTTCCTGGATATACATTTCACTTTCCTAGATATTTTAGTTTACTAGACATTAGATGTTAACAAAATGATATTGTGGTTTTTGACTTAGTTATTGGTACTTGGATTTTATTTCCAATGCTATCGCATGTTGCTTATTGGTGATTGAATTTGGATTTTATTGGTTATTGGTATTTTATTTTGGTTATTGGTACTTGGATATACGTTTTGAGTCTGAATTATTGATCTCTTGTTTACTATTTGCGTCCATTCTTTATAAATTAGAATACAGTATTATCTAAAAATCCAAACAGAGAAACCAAACAAAACCGGTGTGGTTTGGGTTGGTTCGGTTTAAGAAAGAGAGTGGGTTGGTTTTGGTTTTAAATTCACCCAAACCGAAATGCAGGGCATAGCATAAATGAAAGCGTTGATCATACTTTGGTTTTGGTTTCGGGTTGAGGTCGAAACCAACCCAAACCAAACCACACCCAGGCCAACTTCAAATAATGATTCCTAGCTGATGAACGCGGAAAATTAAGCTTTTTTTGTTTCTGTATTTTTCAAGTAACCAAAGAGAGCTAATTTTCGCATTTCGAAGTAAAATTAAAATACACAAGTAACAACATTATAATTTACTCTCATTTTGGTGTGTCACTGTGTGTAAGTTATACAATTATAATTTTTCCTTTCTAATTTAAATTTTCAAGTAATAGATTCCGCAAGCCGAAAATATACCGGGAAACAAATTTACAGCAATGCAATGTGCAAGTATTTACCAATATTGGTGTCTCTGAAGTCTCGGAGAAATTTAAGAGGATCGAACTGCGGTAGATCACAGCCATCGGGTTTCCAGCGCCATTTGACAATATCAAGCGCGTTCGACTTGTTACTGCCAAGGCAGTTCCACCCTTTGTAAATCTCCTTGCAGGTGTTGTCATATCGCGGCGGAGATCTGACAGTCGGATCGTAGATCCAACGACCATCCGTGTAATTACACTTTTTGTAGTTAATATTCTTCGACGTCGCCGAGCGGTTTAACGCTGGAGATTGCGCGTTGTCGGATTTGAAGAGAGAGAAACAAATGAAGAGAGAGGCGAGGCAGAGTAGAGCGAGAATGAGGCGAGAAGTGGACAGTGGAGTGGCGGAGGTAGGTGGTTTCTTTGAGTAATGATCTCTTGTGGCCATGGCGGACGCTGCTGAGCGACCTCCGCACTGTGGCGCACTGGTGCTAAAAAGCTGGGGATTGGATCAGGCCAGTGGCGGTGGACAGTTGGGATGGGCTTAAATTGATGATATTCAAAAACGGCGCCTTATTCTATAATTTTTTTTTTCTCAAAAGCATTTCCGTCTATATATTTTTTTCTATAAAATAATTTTACAGTAAATTCAAAAATATTTCTTACTTTCTAATCATACATTTAAAAAAAAAAAAAAAAATTCACTGTAACTAAAACTCATTTTTTCCAAAAATGGAATCGGTAAAACAAGTGAATTTAACTATAAGCCCCTATTTGACAATCATTAAAAAGAGTTTTTTAAATAAAATAAGTTTTAGAATAATGACTTTTTTTTAGAATACGTGATTAAAAGTAGGAAAAAAAAATTCAGGATTACGTGTAGAATATTTTATAGTAAGAATGTGTATTCGAAAAAAAGTTTTGAGAAAAAAAAAAGTTCTTTAAAAATGGTAGGCAAACATGAGTCTTTGTTATGAGAGGGTTGTTTGACAAAAAATTATAAAAAAAAATTTAATAAATACTGATGAAATATGTTATTAAAAAATTGATAAAAATTATGTATGTATATTTAAATTAATATTTGATTTTGATATCAACTTAAGCTTTTACAAACAAGAATGTATCATAAAACCATACTCCATGCAATCACAATCACATAGCATCAACCGTCTAAAAAACTTTGGCACATTTCCGAGTAGCAAGGTTCCCCATCAATAATGTTATACATACATTATTTCCCTTTCATTCATGTTGGCATTCTCTTTGTTTCAAAAAATTGTGGACGGGAAAAGTAATTTCTGTTTAAACTGTCCAATGATGTGTTGTCATATGACACAATGTAAACAACGATATAAAAGATGTGATGAAATGAAACTGATCAACACATCTGCTTGTGATACTCCTAACAAAGTTTCTAAGAGACCCTGGGAGAACTCCTTTATTCCAAAATGNACAAATTCGATGAATTGTATGGGTGGCTAGCGAGAAGGGCTAAATGACTTTGAGTCCGCCCGCGCCAGAGATAGATAAGAGGTGGACCAGCGCGAGGGCCAACTATGTATCAAAATTGAAACTGTCCAATATCTATTACAAGTGGGGCCTAGCCAAGCGTCAAAAGTAGAATCTCGACATTTCGAGTCTAAGAGTGAGCAAGAGATTCATATTAATTGAGATTTAGATCTAAGTTTTAATATATTTTATAATTTCATTCATTCATTGACTACTAGAAACCTATAAAACACAATAAAAACAGATCACTAATAATTTGCAGTATTGAGCCCCTTCATATATTTTCCACCTCCAAAGAAAAATATAAAAAAGAAATCTGCATAAATAACAATTATCAATTGACCAAAACAAAGTGAATAAAAGAATACATGTTCTCAAAGGGTGAGGCTTAGACCACAAAATAGAAACAATACAAGATAAATAAAATCATAAATTAGTGTTCTTTTACAAATACGAGGAATAAATACAGTAACTATGAATATTCCATATAGACTGGTTCATTTTCCTTCAATGCCTTATTTGGAATAATGGTATACTTCCGTGGATGATATCTTACACCCAAAAAGCTTGTAATCAACCAATTCTTTTGTTTCATAAATCATAAAGGAATATCAAATGTTGGCACCATCTTCACGAAGGATGCCATCTGTAATGAAGCCATCAATGTGAAGGTTTGAGGTGAAAAACTTGGCAGGTCGACTCATACGAGTTCTTGGCTGCAGCCGTTTCGAATTTCTTGGTAGCACGTTCATTTTCATGTAAGCCGGTTTGAATGAAAAACCTTATCCACCAAGTTGAGCTCCTCCGTTTGGCCTATTCAAGGAAAAAACCAGCATGTTAACTTCTTGATTCCAAACAACAACGGAACTATGCTTAAACCCAAAAAAATCAATTTTTCATTCTGTCAACCCCCAAGAAAGTGAAATGTGAGAATAAAAATGCACAGTAAAAAACGGAAGGCTCACCCTCCATCTACTTATTGTCACTCTAGTTTTAGATGAAATGCAAGGCCATATTATTCACACAGAAAAAGAAAAAGGAACAAACAGAAAGATTGGCAACTTACAGGGCGTCCGAACTTTGATAGCTCAGCCACTTTAGCTCTCTGCTGGCCTGGCTGACCTATATAAAAAGGAAATTTAGTGTACTTTCAAAGGAGCTTCAATTCCAGTTAAACAATCATTACAGAACAAGACAAGATCCATATAAGAAATGTTTGTATCCTAACTAAATTTCCCTTTTTTTTTTCTTATATCAAGAGATCTCCAAATAAAATTGAATCCTTGACCATTGGCAACAAGAGTAAATATACACAGCATTTGAACCCTCAACCACTTTATACCAAGAGTAAAAAGCTGACTAGCTAATATAAGGTAAATAGGTATCAATTTACCAAAATAAAAGCATGTTTGGGAAGTGTTTATAAACGGTTTAAATTATAAACATATATAAACGAGTGATGGATAAGTGAATACTATTTGTGATCCCTCAAAATGTGTGGATAAAAAGTCGCTTGAGTATTTATAAACATGATCCAAACATAGGCTAAAGTAGTTATCACTTCATTCTTGATATTGAGTGGTCAAGGGATGTGTGTATTGATACTCACTTAACAATGTAGGACAGGGAGTTAGACTCCCCACTCAAATTTGCGACGAACAATTCCAATCTCTAGATTACTCAAGCCTAAGCACCCAATGGATAACATTACATGGGTCTGCAAGGACTAAGATCACTAGCCTTGAGAACATAATTGAACAGTATATAAGTAATAAGCCAAACAGCTCAAAACCATATGTAAAGTAGTAATTCCTCCAATCCTCATAACCCATTCATTTGATCACATCCAGATGTAATTGATGTGAGATGGAGAGTAACAATAACACCTTTCAGGAATAGACATGCAATATGATACTCCTTAAAAAAGCCTGGCCAATTCCAACTAGTTGAAGGAATTGAATAGCCTAGTCAGCTAAGAATGTCTGAAGTTACTATGCAAAACTGTCAAGAGGAGATAATAGTCATAATTCTAACAATTACCTGATAATAAAACTAAACCATCAGCAGCTACCCTCGCTAATTCTGGAACAGTCGTGTTTAAGTACTTGGGTGACAAGTAATCCAAAGCATCTGACACAATGACAAGAGAGAATGACTTCGCCCTGTAGGGAAGAGGAAACTTGATATCGGCCACACGCACAATGGCTTTGAGAACAAGACTCTTGCAGCTGCCATCGACATCATCTAACTCATATGGCTCAATGCCCCAAGCTTCAGTATCTTCTTTTAATAGTTGAGAAACCACTGAGCAGGTGTCGGGGCCTACATGCAACACTTTTTTCATGCTGTCACCATATGTATTCTTCAATATAGGTAAAATTTTCTGAACTTCTAATGTACATGAGCCACTGTCTGCATATACACAGTTCAATTACTTGAGAAATATGTATCCATGTTAATAATAGCATAATCTATTTCAAAGAGCAGGAAAGAAAAAAATAGTCTCATGAAAAACAAGAATCCAGATTTTTAAAAAAAAATACTAGTGCCTAATGCGGTGAATATTAGATCAGTCATATTTTTCATTTCTTAGCAATTATAAGCTAACAGAAATAATAAAAATCATAAGTAAGCCAGATGCCCATATATATGGCAGCCATATATTTGTATGCAATCAATAAGATTTTTTCTTTCAACGGTGAAAGCATAAATTCGTTTGAAGAAAATTTAGATAAATGGGATATTAAGGCCTTCTGAAAAAAATGAAAATTTCTGATATGAACATTTGCAGCAAAATATTTTCAATATATAAAAATTGTATGCTTCACAACCACCACTGCCACCCCACCAAGCAACTTTGTTGCAGTTGTATCAGTGATGTACAAAGAAATTATTTTCTATCTGCATATGTTTCCTAATCTTCGTTTAAGAACATTGGTATTAAATAGGTCGAACGAGGTTCACTTTAATAAGCGCTGGTATGACTATTAACAAAAACTAAAAGGAAAAAGTTTCCATTTCATAAAGTACACATCATTTTTAAACCTTACAGATGTATAAAAAGTTATTGTTGGAATAAACCTGACAATTACGAAAAGCAGTCGAGATTTGGAATCAAGATATCAAATTTTGATTTGGAAATCACTTCACACGTAAAATAGTGTCTAGATTCAGTATTTCGTAGCATAACTAATAGAAAGTTACCATCAAGTCTATTTAAAGCTGTTATATCACCACTCCTTCCACCTGTCATGAAACAGGAAAAATAAATAGTAAGTTTTCATTGAAACCACACATCAAAAGCAATGGTGCATTGTGATCATATAGAAAGTTATGATGCCTAGACTTCTTAGTTCCTACCACATTAATATTAGAGAAATTAAAAAGAAAAAATCTTGCAAAAAATAATGCATGGTAAAAAAAAGCATGAATTCTACAGGCATTTGTTCATGGAATATAAATATGCTAATTCAAAGACCAACTACATACCTGAACCATGGTACATGTATCCAATTATCAGCAATGCTCCCTGAAAATTCACAAAAGGTGTGATATCAGTTTTCTAATTAGGGAACAAAAGCCCATATGTTTAATACTGACAGAAACAAAAATAAAGAAGCAGAAAAATTAAGCAGTGTCCGGTAGCCATAGTTTTCATTATTCAGCCAAAAAGTACCATCAACATGATCTTGGTATGAGCAGTGTGTGATCCTGCACGCGCGTACTTGAGTGTAAGAGAATTTGAAAAAGAAAAAAGTTCAGAGATTTACCACAACCACAAGCCCTATTGAAAATAAAGGAGATGGCCGTGATTTGGGATGTAATGAACCCACAAAAGGGAGGCTCCCATTGTCTCCAAAGCGACGAGCAGTATTTGGCCTTCTAGACATTGTTGTCCAGTTATAATGACCCGGCAAGACCTGGGAATGGGTGCAATAGAAATAAGACATTTCTTTCTGAAGCGATAGAGGACCTTTTTAGACATATATGAAGTAGCATTGACACACAAGTTTACATATCATCAACACCTGGCCTACCGGCATACAAGCTGAGTAACAACCTTTGGGGACTCACTATGTGTTCCAACATCACGACCAGAGAGAAATCAGAGATATTTACTCTCATGAGCACAAACATCCAATACAGACATGAATTAGACAGCTTAAAATGGAGATAAAACGTACTGATAGCAATTAGTAAGCATAATAAGTTAATGGAACACAGATTTTGATCCTTAGGTGAATTCCCCTTCTTAGTTCATCCAAAACACCATCACTAAAGTATCTCCGTCCTAACCGTCTTCGACCTGCTAGCTAATTCTAGCTTTTAACTGCTGAAGTTTCATAGATCTCTTATACAGCAGCAAAACCTTGAATTTTTCAACTAATTTCCTTAAACCATTTCAGTTTTACATAGCTGAAAATTCACTTCACTACTTCCAAATCAAATAAGCATCAAAAATCGTAAGAGAAAAATCAATGAATTAAATCAATCAAACTTAAAGAAAGCAACCTGAAATAGAAAACTCGGAAATGTTGTGTATGAGGAGCTTGAAATTGGATCTGGATCTAGAGCTCGAAGGAACAAGAAGAAAAGGCGCTGAGATTTGGATAAATAGTTATTTCACTTTCAGAGAGTGATGATTATCGGTATTTTTCAAATTTTCAATGATGAAAAATGACGATAAAAATAAATAATTATATATATATATATATACACACACACACACAGAGGAAGTAGTGAGCCAGATTACTGTAGATAATTTCAATTTTCAGTGAAAAAGTGAGAGTCGGTAGACGCGTTGTGTTTGAATGGGGAAGACGGGACAAAGTACCCTTTTTTTGTCGGCATGTTTTTTACCAATGTCGAACCAGGTTACAATTAATTATTCTTGTTGTACATTGTGGACACCCTATGTACATTACAGGAGGTGTTTGACACCCATTTTAGTACAAAAATATGTTTTTGAATAGTGATTGATGGAAGAATGTGTGGTTAAAAAATAAGGAGAATTTTTAGTTTATGTATAATATTATCTTATTGATATAATGTGTGATTGAAATGAAGAAAAAGAAAAATGATGAGAATGAGAATGGAAAAAAAATGAGTGTCAAACGGGGGCTCAATGTACTTGTAATAGAGTCCGGTTATAATTGGCAATTGAACTCCTATACCGGAGTCCTTGGTCCCATTTTATTAAAATTTATTTTTTTTATATTCATTTTTAATCGCACGTCACAACTTTTATAGAGTGTGTTTGGAATACATTCTTTTAAAAGAATATATTATTGAATAGTAAATTGATGGAGAATGTGTGATTAAAAATAAAGAAAAAGTTATTGATGTGATGGAAAATATTATTTTATTGAAGAATGTGTGGTTGAAAATGAGTAAAAGAATGAGAATGAAAAAAATAATGTGTACCAAACAGGGCCTAACTATAAAAATTAAACATTTATTTGACAATCATTATGTTGAAATCTTTTAGGGATGAAGCTTGGTGTACATGTAGGGGTTCTGCCTACCGAACACACACAAACAGGGGTGGGGTGAATTTTTTGGAGTGATTTTTTAATGAGGCGGGTACCGCCTCATGTGAGAGGGTCAGCTCTGCCAGGCCTGGCAGAGGAGTTTAATTCATCTTTTAATTCTAATTACACAATAAAATATTTTATATATAAACTCAAAAATTTTCTTTACTTTTTAATCACACATTCTCCATAAAATCAATATTCAAAACTTCTTTTTTTTCAAAATAACGGTCATCAAGCAGGGGCTAATTATATATTTTATTAAATTTTATCAAATTTATGAAAAATGCTGACTTTTATCTAAATCAAACATGACTAAACTTTATTTTACACATATTTGCAACCCATCCAATAATTCTCTTAAAATGTTGTGAGTTATAAAAATAACTTTTAAAAACATGTTTAACAAAATAAGTAGTTTAAACAATTATGACTTATGATTAAGACAATCCAAACGGGCCACAAACAAAACTTAGAAAAAGTTTGATACTTGGGATAAATTTTGAGCATTTAAAGATTTTCTAGAAAATAACTAAACCAATCAAGCCAACCTACTTTGCCTCAAGTAGAATGGAGGTGGATAGATGAACGAAGTCAGCCTTAATGAAGGATGTTGATGACTAAAAATGAGGAGACAATTATAGGATCTAGTTTTAAAAAAATATATATAGTAGGGTAATTGTTGGAATATCGCAAAGAAAAAGACAAACTCTCCTATAGAAGTATTTTAGGTAGTGGATTACACAAGATTGCTTCACTCAACCCTTTGTAGGGAACCATTGCCCCATTTATAAGCCTTACAACACGAGCTTGTCACCCCTTTTTAAATTAAGCTATAGAATCTGACCTCAATTCGTGTGACACCGTCCTGTTTGACGAGTTTTTATTGGAGGTGAGTTTCAAATTATTGTTTTACCTAGAATGTAGCATGTAGCCTAGGTATGATTGCATGTTGTCTAGACAATCATTACTACCCTTCTAATTGGTGAGAGGGATAATGCTAACGTGAGAGATGACATTCGTCTTCTCTCTTGTTGGGGAGATATTAATATCACTAAGGGATTACCATTTCAATTGGATAATGATGATATTTACTAATGACGATGGTCTTGTACTTTTCCTTATGATTTTTGGAGATCTCATATTTAAGTGTGTTTTAATTACTAGTGAAGTGGCTCGGTCGTTGTGCTTTCGGTTAGACACCAACAAAGGAAACATCAAATTAGTGTTTTGGTAGAATATTTATGTACACATACCTTAGAAGAACAAAATGCCTTTAACTACATTCTAGGTGTCTTAACTATAATTGAATCAAACAAAGTCAAGCAATCGAAGTCTATTTTTATCCTTTGCAAGCATTTGCGTGTTATCTTGTGTTCGTTGTATTGCAATTGGACTATTATTTTCTGTCCCTTTACTTTTCATTTGTTCTATCGTATTTTCTTTGGCTTAGTTATATATATATTTCATAATCTTTAAATAAAAAATGTCAACCCCAATACCTCTATGTAAATGAGAATTAGATAACTTGAGTTGTTATTTACAAACATACTTCACAAGTGTAGAAGGTCACCCTCTAATACAATAGATTTTGAAGGATGTGAAAATTAGGACATGTAAATATACTACAAGTCTTTGTAACTCTACTGACAAATACTGGATCCATATTTAATTTAATGTAATTTACTGATTTTTAATTTATCTTTTAGTATTTACCAACCATAATTGAAAGGAAAATTAACAGAAAGCAACTGCAATATAGGGGTCCAAATATATCTACGAATTAACAGTTTTTGATCCTTGTGACCTTGTTCTTGATCCAATGTGCAGATATGGTATGTTTGTTATACCTTTTTATGACTTCTTGATTAGAACCTATAAGAGGTCCAAACGGATTGAATTTAGTAGGTTGGAAAAAAATATACAACCTAAGCAAGAACGGCATTTCACAAAATGTATGACTCATGCTCCTTTAGGTTCTTCTCTCTCATTTCGTGAAAGTAAATTTCAGTATACTATGTTTGAAAATTAGAGGTTTGCTACGCCAAATTTAGGCGATTCTCCCAAAAGTTTCATCAAAATCCTTCATTATTACAATAAGGGTTGATAAGCGTGTTTTTACATACTTATTTGACAATCAAAACATGATCAATTATTGATTAAAATGTTGGAATATAGCTTAATTTTATGTAATTCATGTTTTGCATGATAAAATGATGAATGTCGTGAAATAAGGAGAACAAGTGAAAAATAACCAAAATGGAGGAAAACTAAAATTCAAAACTAAAGTACAAATACTCTAACTTGTTCCTAACATTGTGATGAAGATTCGAGAGTGTTAGAGATCAATTGGATGAAAAAAATTAGTCAAATAGATGAAATATAGCCAAGATATTATCACATATCAACTTTCAAGCTGAAAAGTTTTGCACCGATTTTCAACCTCATATTGAGACCAGTTTTTGACATGAAAAATGATCGAATTTGAAGATGGTATCTGAAGCAAAGTTTTAGCCCCTTGAGTTAGCATCTTGAATCGCCTCAATCGGATATTATGAGAGAAAGTTATAACCAAAATACTGAAAATGATATAACAACGCAGCACCTTGGCACTGCACAGACCCAAAAAGAGCATATTTTTAACGCCTGGGCCCTGCTACCATGGCACCTAGGCGGCGTACCTTGCAAATTTAGGTTATTTTATGGTTAGGCCGCGAGAAGCCTAGAAAAGACCCCAAAAACTTTCCCGAACTTCTTATTCCTCATCATTCTTCATTCTACACGATTCATTCATTAATTTGGCTCAAGAAGCAGATGAAGAACTAAAGATCTTGGTGAAACTACAAAGGAACTCAGTTAAAATTGATGATTTCATATCTTTTATTCAATTATTTTGATCTTTTCATTGTTAGACAATGCTAGAATTTAGGTTTTCATTTTTATAAATTTACATCGAAATTGGTTTAATTCTCATTAGATTTTTCATGGATTCAGTCATGCTTTTTCCATTATTTAATCGAAATATTTATTAAATTTCAATTTCATGAATATATGTTGAGTTTGATTTAATTTTTATTAAATTAATCATAGATTCAGTCATACTTTTTCTATCCACGAATTGAATTAATTGTTGAATTGAAATCTCAATATTTTATTGGTGTGATTTATTTACTGCTTTATGTTTGAAGTATATGATCGATTTATGAATCTAATTTCAATAAATTTTGTGTAAACATGTCATAAATCTAGATTCTAGGATTACATTTGTAGAAAATTGGTTTTCATGACAAATCTTTCTATTAGAGTGTTGGGATGAAAGCCTCTAATTGAGTTATAAAACTGAATAATTTATGTGAATAATCCAATCTATCCGAGAAAATTTCGATGCTTCACTGTTTTAAATTATTGATTTTTAACTTCATTTTTTCAATATTGAATTCAATAACACTCTTGAGAAAACAATCCATCCCTTTTTTATCTTTTAAATATTCTTACATCTCACTGTGGATACGACACCCCAAAACTGTACTACAATTACCTTGTTATTTTTTGGGCATAATCAAATTTTGGCGTCGTTGTCGAGGAGACTGTACAAAATACGCAAGGATCGACTACAAAAGGGTGACATCATTCCTTTTATTTTATTTTTAGTTAGTTTAATTTTCTTTATTATATTTTTCCTATTTTCACTTTATTTTCTTTTACTGTTTCTATGAGCAAGTNTAGTTAGTTTAATTTTCTTTATTTTATTTTTCCTATTTTCGCTTTATTTTTTTTACTTTTTCTATGAGCAGGTATCGAGGAGAACGATGACGAGTTGTGGACAGACCCGACACAGAGTTTGAACATCTTTTTAACCCTGTTTTTGATACTATATTTGTTAAAACTGACACTTCATCACGTAATACAATATCTAACAATGAGCATGATGTACCATATAGAACTTTGGATGATTATCTGCACCCCACACGTATATCTACACCTCCATGTATATGTTTCCACCCAACATGTCACGTGTACATTTTAAACTTGGAATGATTCAACTTCTTCCAAATTTTCATGGACTTGAAAATGATAACCCGTATGTGCATGTTAGGGAATTCTTAGAGGTTGTAGCAATCTTCTATAATCAACATGGTTCAATGGATGCAATTAGGCTTAAATTCTTCCAATTTTCTCTTAAGAAATGGCTAAAAGCTGATTGTATTCATTGAGACCACGTTCGATTGGAATTTGGGCTGAAATGACCCAAATATTCTTTAGCAAATACTTTCCCCATCACAAAACTATTGCATTGAAAAAATAATTCTCTTCTTTTATCCAAAAGGAGAATGAAACTTTATATCAAGCGTAGGAAAGGTATAAGAACTTCAAACTCTTTGCCCCATCATGGTTATGAGAGTTGGCGTATCGTGAGCTATTTTTATGAAGAGTTAACATCTAGGGAGTGTCAATTTATAGAGATGATGTGTAATTGTGAATTTTTTACAGAAAGAGCCTGATAGGGCTATAGAATATTTAGATGCACTAGCAGAAAAAGCTCATACTTGGACTGGCCCTAGTGCCACTGATAGCGCCAATAGGTCACGACTCGTAGGAAATCCTTCTAGTGCAGGCGTTTATCATGTTAGGGAAGAAGATAGAACTAAAGTAAAATCACTGACTAGAGAAATTCAAAACCTACACGCTAGTAGTTCAAAGCCTACATCTACCGTTGCTCGTGTTGAGTCTTCTAAACTTGTGATGTGGTGGAATTGGTCATCCAACACAAGAGTGTTCTACTCTCGCTGAGATAAGGGGGGTTTATGAAGAATATTGCAATGCCTTAGGCATGTATAACAAACTCTATGCTCCTTTCTCCGAAAGCTACAACCTAGGGTGGCGAAATCATCCCAATTTTAGCTGGAAATCTGAAAACCAGCAACCCGCCCAAATGAATAGAGCTTACAGTGCACCCTGATACCATCCCACGTCATTTAGGAATTCCTTAGAAGATACCTTACATACTTTCATGGAGGCACATGGGAAAACAAATCAAAAATTTGAGACTATGATTACCCAAATTGTTGAGGATCATAAGGAAATCAAGAATCATATCTCAAAACTAACTAGTGTCTTAGCTGTTGAAGAACGTGGGAAATTTCCAGTTCAACCTAATCCTATGGGGCAATACATGGCACAAACCTTAGGATCTAATGTAAACAATCTTAGGGAGATAAATGCCATAACCACTAGGTCAGGAAAAGTCATAGAACAAACCCCTAGACCTATGGAAACTGAAAAAAAGTCTAGTGAGTCTGAAGAGAGTAGCCCTAGGGAAGAAGTGATGACAAATCCAGTGAAAGCACATTTCCCACTAACTCTTAAGTCCACCTCAAAATCAAGTCTTAGAGCATCTAAAGCAGGTAAAAATCAATTTGCCATTTTGCATGTAATTTCACAGATTCCTATGTATGCTAAAGTCCTTAAAGATTTATGCACTATCAAAAGGAAACACAATGTCAAGAAAATCGTTGACCGAGCAAGTGAGTGCAGTGATTGAATAAAGAGTCTCACATAAGTATAAGGACCCTGATTGTCCTACTGTGTCTTATATCATTGGGAGTCATAAGTTTGGACATGCTCTTCTATATTTAGGGGCTAGTGTCAACCTAATTCCTTATGCTATTTACCTGTTATTAGGTTTGGGTAAGATGAAGCCTACATCTGTGGCTTTACAATTAGCTGATAGGCCCACTGTTAGACCTAGGAGAGTATTTGAGGATGTCTTGATTCAAATTGATAAATTTTACTATCCCGTGGATTTCTTGGTGTTGGATGTAAAAGATGATATGAATGTTGACTCTGAAATTCCTATAATTCTTGGTAAACCTTTCTTTGCTACTGCTAATACTCTAATTAATTGTAAGAATAGTCTTATAAAACCTTCATTTGAGAATTTGACCTTAGAAGTCAACATTTTTCATGTTACTAAGCAGCTACAAGAAGATGACGAGTGTTATCAAACACACATGATTGATGCACTCATTCAAGATGTTGCTGATAGTATGTTCCTTGGACTAGCATAGAAAATTCTAGAACCAGATGGAGTAGACTTCATCATCAATAAACATCTTGAGATAGATGATCAAGAGTCAGGTAATAATTCTTATTTTACATTGCCAGTTTCTAATAAGAAAACTTTACCTTTTGTCTTGTAGGTCCCTACTCCTGATTCTGAACTCTCTCCTGGTTATCTCACGCGTGTATTTGATGGTGGAGGAGGAATATCACCAGTGCTTATGTCCAAGGAGTTTAGTGCATTGCAAAGAAGATTGAAACCACACTTACTGGATGCAGGCTAGGGCGGAAACATTGGGTCGAGTTAATGACAAAAAATAAAGGCGTTGCTTGTGAGGCAACCCAATGGGAGTTCGTTTTTTTTCTCCTGCCTTTTAATTTTGCATTTTTATTCTAATTAATTTTATCATTTTCTTTGCTTTACATTTTCATTGAGTGCTTTCAGCTCTTATACTTTAACTTTATGTTGATTCACTGCACTATTATGCGA